TAATTGCCCGCCGCATGCGTCTTGCCTTCTTGAACGCCCAAGCTGCTCTGGAGGCCCTTCCCAAGGTTATTGATATTATGGGCGAGGAGCTGAAGTGGGACAACAAGCGCAAGGAAGTTGAGTGGAAGAACGGTGTCACTTTCCTCGGCTCTATGGGACTTCCCAAGAGCAAGCTTTCTCTCACTCGTAAGGAGGTCGAGAGCGGTGCTGTAGGTAAATATGCCGACGAGGAGCATCACCTCTACGCACGACATGGTGAGTCTACCCCCGACGAAGAAGCTTGCGCGAACCTCTTTGCATTTGGGATCAGACTAAATGAGATATTTGCAGATAAACCCAGCGAGCCTCTCCCATCCGACAGCAAGTTCAAGTCTGGCGAGAACCCTGTCGTCAAGCGCGAATCCCAGGTTAACAAATAAGTTCCCTGGCATCTTCGACGTATCCTATCAACAAGACCTGTGATATCGCATCCATACATCGCTTCTATATTTTTATGATCCTAATCGGCGTGCGCGGCGTACTTGAGTCGGCATCCGTTTTGCTGGCGCTTGATACCATCCGTATGACTGGCTTCCTTTTTCCTGTCGCGCTCTGTACATCAATCATGTAGCTAGACTAGCGTGTCACTCGAAAGAAATGAGTAAACATTGTTTCGCTCTAGACATATTGGCTTTTGCTGAATGTATGCACATTGGAGTCTCCATTTTCTGTAGACGTGTTCACCGCCAGTACTGTATGTAGTGTGCAGTGCTTAGAAGACTCCACATTGAGATGCAAGAGTAACCCCACCACCTAGAATTGCCTGACTCCACTTCCTGTAATCCGCAGTGACCCGCTCACATGGACTGAATGGCTGGCCAATGTTCTGGAATATCTAGCTTATTGACCATGGAGATGGAATTTGTTGGTTTGTAATTCTAATAACAACAGTAGAGAAGCGGGAGTTACTGTTTACAACGATCAACTGTGCTTGATTATCGTGAACTACAGTTCGTGGTGTACGGTGCCCACGCAGGCACGTGACTGACATTGAGGGGTTGTTGCCCTGGTATTGTGATCATTACGATGTGCTGATCTTTGCTACATTTTTGATTCTTTTCTTAAATCTTGTTTGGATTTGCATTTTTTTTCCCTTTTGTGGCGTAGGCCTATTAAGGGGCGTAGATCCGGCTAGACTTCGGGATAGTTCAGGATCGGCTCTGCCATTGGAATTCACTTGATTAGAAGGGCGTATGTGTGTGTGGCCACGATTGCTACCTAAGGCAGTTTTTGTGGTGTATTAAAAGCGGTCTTGTATAGCCCTGGATATAGGTTGTGGGAACACCTAGTCCCTGCCACCACTACACACCACCAAAACTTCATTCGAAAATATAGCAATTGAACAGAAATTTCGTTCCGCTCTCTTGTTAGGTAAGCGGTTCTGACTAGAACTAAACCGTTTCCTCCGTTCGACCCGGTTGAACTGGCGCCCATAGCATATAGCATGGCAATTCACCCATCAAAACAGCCCTAGGAGTTCCATCTGTCATCTGAGATCGGGTCAGAGAAAAAGGCTCCAAAGACACAAACCAGATAGGCACTTGTCCTTGGTGGCGACCACCTATCCATGATGTATATACTTCCGCTTCTCCTCTCCATCCATGCCGCTTCTACTGTTGCCTTTCCCTGGATAGGAAATCAGCCTGGTGTGAACCCCAGCATCTTCAGGAACGCTCATCCGGTCGAAAAGCGCCAGGAAAACTGTCCTTTCAATCCCGATCACAAGGGCGCTGCTCCATACACAGAGCCTTACACATACACGGGAGCAAAGAATGGCGCTCCTGGTAACCAAAGAGGCGGAATCAAAGTTCCAGCAGACGGCGATACTGCCCATGCTTACACCCCTCCTGGACCCAATGATATTCGTGGTCCATGTCCCGGTTTGAACGCACTCGCAAACGTAAGCAACTGTTGATACAGCTTTATTAGTTTGAACGCAGACTACTAACATTGCTCTAGCATAACTTTATTTCTCACGATGGAATCACAACCTTCCAAGAACTTGTCGACGCTCAGCAAAACGTCTTCAACGTCGGCTATGATTTATCCGTCGTTCATACCGTCCTGGGTATGCAAGCTGGCGGCGATTTTATTACTGGCCGTTTGAGTATCGCATGTGACGCTACGTCACGTACTGCGCTCCTGCCTGCTCTCGCCCGTCAGCCCGGTCTCAATGCACACAGCAAGTTTGAGGCTGATTCGTCACTCACGCGCAACGACTACTTCCTTGCAGATGGTGACAATTACAGCTTCAATGGTACGCTGTTTGCACAGATGAAGAGGGTCGCTGATGAAGTCTCTGGCGGAAAGTTTGACCGCAATGCCCTTGCCAAATACCGTAGTAACCGATACGACGACTCTGTATCCAATGTGAGTGCTCCACTTTGTATTTACTCCATCAAACACAACACTACTAATGTCTTCTAGAATCCAAACTTCCTTTTCAGTCCCTTGGCAATGATCCTCTACGGAGCCGCAGCCTTTCTTTACGAACTCTTCCCTAGCTACGGTAACAAAGGTATACCTGATCTCGAGACGATGAAGGCCTTCTTCGGTGCCGTCGAGGACCCTTCTGCACCAGGCGGCTGGCGCCATGTTCCCGAGCGTATCCCCGAAAACTGGTATTCGCGCGTCGAACCATACAGTGTTGTCGATGCCGCGACTGAGATCCTCGCCATGTATCTTCAGTACCCCAAGCTGTTCGGTGGAAACGTCGGTACTAGCAATTTCAACGCCCTTAGCACGCCGTTTGGTATCATCCGCGATGGAAAGCTACCGGATGAGGTGACGGTGAAGGATTTGATGTGTTTGCTGTACCAATTGGCTGTTAGTCCGGTGCCTGGTATGTTTGGTGCTGTGACTGATGTAACTGGTGCGGTCTTGAATTTTGCGACTTCGAAGCTGAATCCCGCGTTTAATAATACGGGATGTCCGCTTAGGGTCGGGTGAGTTTGGGATGGAGGTACGAGGAGCTGGATGGATGGATGGGTAATGTACGTGGTAGGCCTCAGCAATGTGATTGGATTTGCCTCTCTCATGCGATCGCAAGAGGAAAGAATGGTAGTGTTTATTCTTGAATTAGAATTCTGCATATATCTTATACCTTGCAACGATGTACTGCTGTTTTTTGCTTACACTCGAGTGATTTCCTGCTACGCCGTGTCGAAGTTAGGCAAATATGGAAGGAACCCTTGGTTGGGCTGTTCTCCTCTCAGCCTTCTCGTCCCGCTTTCCTTCTGTTCCGCCCCCATGACAACAAAACAAGCACTTATCTATCAGAGAGAGCATTCTTCAACAATCTACTGTTTCAGTCCTCCGACTGTTGTCTACCATGGATCCGCTCTCAGTGACTGCAAGTATCCTGACCCTTATCACGGTCGCGGGGTCGATTATACAGCATTTAGACCACATGAAATCTCGCATGGATCCTCAGGCTGAATTCATCGCAATTTTGAATACTGTATGCAGTATTTGATTCTTGGAAATTGGCTCATCTAACAGCCATAGTTAACTGATCTACAAACGACTCTGACCGTGGTGCGTGATGAAGATGATGCGTTGAGGAATAGCAAGACACCGGCGGCAAGGCTGGCCTACAACACCTTACCCGAAACAATTGGGAAACTGGAAACGTACTTGGACCAACTGACTCAGTTCGCCCATGCAAATCTGTTGAGGAATGGAAAGGGCTTGTCTCGCCTTGGGCTGAGTACACGACGAAAGAAAGAGTTGGCAGAGATTCGAGAAAAGATTTCAGATGCGCATCGGAATTTGCAATTAGTTCTCCTTTCAGTAAACCTGTAAGTTAGATCATACTTTGCACCTAATGTTTATGAGCATGGCGAGAGCTAACCATTCCGTAGTCGCCGGAACCGGGAGTTGTTGTCAAGGATCGAGGAGGTTGCAATTGTGCACAGCAAAAACCATGCTGAGACTTCTGCCTCGCTGAACCGCATATCTGACCAACTAAAATCAGTCAGAATTCATGAAGAAAATGACTTGGAAACCTACCAATGTCCTCAAGAAAATATCAGATCCATTCTGGTACAGTCAGTGTACGACAACAGTAATGAACCATCGACTCAACTTCGCATAACAACCAACTTGCCTACGAAAGCGTGTGAATGGATTTGCAATTGCCAATGCCACGTCCGAACCCAATATCAAACTCCACAATGGCTTTCAGCAACTATCGGTACGCTATTCTACTCTTCTACAAGCACGCCCTCACTGGACGTTCGGCCCTGCAATGTTCCGTCTTGCTCACGATCTCATCCCTCATCGTCATCTAGAGTAACATATTACTTCCCTACCTGGATGCTGCGTACCGCCCTGGTCTTCTCCACGTGGAGTAATCTCAAAGGTAAAAACTCTTCGTGGGTCGTCAAAGTGCCGAGGAAAATACCATACAATGACCCCGTTTGGAACTATGTTCATCAAGGAGATATAGATGCGATTAAGGGACTTTTGGAGAACCGGGAGGTTTCGCCGTACGATATTGCGCCGGATGGAAGCTCTATCTTGCATGTAAGGGGAATTGCATAGTAGCTTTTAACAATAATGAATGCCACTCACTAACACCTAACACAGTGGGCAAGGAATGACTGGCAACTCGAAATCTGTTCATTACTCACAGCCATGGGAGCAGATTGGGATTTAAGGACAGATCGGGAAGGTAAAAGGAGCTACCGGTCCTGGCTTGGTACGATAGTTAACTAACAACGATGCATAGATCAGCATCCGACACAGCGTGGGCTGAAATTCTACTAAATCGCAGATACAATGCCGGTGTGGTCAAACTACGCGACCTTATCGGGCCAGAAGATTCTTACGATCTACATCTCAGCCCCCTCCATCGCATAATAGGCGGGTTATCCGCTGTGGATCTCGAATCGCAAATCGATCTCGACCCTTTACGAATTGAAGATCGAGACTGGCTAGGCGCAACACCTCTCATGTGAGCATCTCGCATTGGCAATTCCGCTCATGTCAACATAATGCTCTCGCGCGGCGCGAAGACCGAAGCAAGAGATTCAGTAGGCCAAACCGCGCTGCACTATGCTGTTGAAGGCGGCTCGCTGAGATGCATCAAGGCGCTTTTAGAAGCGGGAGCTGACGCCCAAGCTGTTGCTAATTATGGTCTTACCCCCCTTCACCATGTCCTTTACTTCACCGACAACTGCAAGGTTGAGGATATCATCTCGTGTCTGTGTGCTCATGGCGCGGATCTCGACGCGCGCGACAACTTGGGTTACACGCCTTTACATTTCGCTGTGGAATTGGGATCGCATATAAGTGCTGAAGCATTCATCAGATGCGGTGCTGGTGTGAATTCTTTGGGTAGAAATGATGATCCGCCGATCGAACGAGCGATTCTGAATGGCTTTGAGGATATAGTGAAGCTCCTTTTTCAGGCTGGAACGATGGTGTCGTGGATAGATTGTTATGGAAATGAGAGAGATGTTGTCTCGGATGCAATATTGTGTGGGACGGTGAGGGTGATTGATGCGATATCGCAGTCTGATATTGCACTTGTGAAATGCAATTTTACTCAATCTCAACTATGGCACTGGTTTGAGGAGCGACAGGATAAGAATTTGGATGATTATAGTCCAGCTCAGAAGCGGGCAGCTTTTGAGCGGCTTCTTGAGAAGGCGGTTCCACTGGATTCTGACGTGGATGTGGATTCGCTGGTTGATGTAGAAGATGAATGACTGGGATGAAAAGCAGAACTATGCTACGAAGCTATGTCTAGTTGGTTAAGATCATACTTTTGCTCATAATAAGTGTAGCTGGGTCGTATATCACGATCTCAATGAAAAAAAAACGACTACCATCAAGACTTTGGAAAGAAAGAAATCTCTCCTCTCCCCCATCTCCACTCAACCAATTCTACAAGTTCAACCCACCTTTCCTCTCCCTTTCCTGACAAAACTTCTCTAAAATCTCTCATACATAACCCCATATCCCACTTCTTCCCTTCCCCAAGCCAACAAGTTTCAGCAACGTCACACAACATCCACCCACCCACATACGCGCATCCACAAACCTCCCACCTGCACCGTCCGCGCGTGCATGAAGCAGAGTGAGGAAAAGCTCAAAAGCATGACATTTACAAGCGCCTAGAAATCGGATCGGCAAAAACAGAACAAAAGGCGGCCTTTGCATGCATGACTCTGTGTATGCGAATCAAGAAAAAGCCCAGGACCGGATTCCAGGGCGCTGGAACCGGAATAGGGTACATGGCGGGGGAGGGGAGGTAGAGTGTTTTACACTATGTGGGTTGGTAGTGCAGTGCGCTAGAGAGAGAGGGGTGTATGGTACGTAGCGTATGTGGATTTAGCTATGTAAGAGAAAGGGTGAGAAAAGGGCTGAATGCTGTGTTTTCCAGAAGCATAACCGACGTCTGAGTGAGAAAGAGGAAAGAGGAAAAACACGCAGAAGATGCTGATGACAATGACGTACGACGTCCCAGCTTCCCCACTCTGTTTTTAGATTGTTTGGCAGAGACGAAGCTTTTGCTAACAGCGACGTGGCATGCGCTTCTGGCAGGCGGTTGAGTATTGGAATGTGGCATGGAGGAGGGTGGCGAGGCGGGGTGAATGGTCAGGTGTCGGATGGAGAGGGGACGGAGTATGTGACTAGACAAAGTGATACTGCTTCGGCTGTGTGTGTGTCAGAAGCAGAGTGCAAGATGCGATCTGTTGGGGCCGAAAGGGCTAACTTTGCTGCTACTACTACGGCTACGGCTACGGCTGCGGGTGAGAATGCAATGCAATGCGCTGCCATGCAATGCGGCACGAGCCGTAGCTTGGTCGTTTTTTTAACCGCAGCTTAGTGCATGGGGGAGAGGGGTTCTTCGTTCAACCACATTTGTGTCGCTTGTCACGTTTGAGGTGCAGTGAGCAAAAAGATAGTGTAGGGGAGGAAAGCAGTGTCAGCTATTAGCAAACTCTCCCCACCTCTCCTCTATCACTGCTGCTTTCTACATCCTCACACGAAGAATATCCAATGACTGCGCATACCATTCATAAATACGAAACTGCGCCTCCCCCCCTCTCTTCTCTTCTTTTTTGCCACCATGCACCTAGGTCTAGTATGCATTGCATGCATGCCCAGACATGCAGCTCGCCTCCAGCCCCGCCCAAAGATAGAATGACAGACATGACTTCCATATGCACAAAGTCCCGAGACTCATCTCTTTTTTACCATATTCACGGGCGCATGCGTATACGTATGCAACAAATGTCTCAGGTAAATCTCGCTACAAAAAAAAGCTGTTCGTCATCAGACCTGCATATGAGCCCTTCAATCTCGGATCGAGAAAATAACCCCACCACAGTTTGAGACCATGTAACCCAGGACGTCGTCTTTTGAGGTACCGCAACACAAGCAGGGCAGGGCAGAAAGTTGGTCGTAGCTGTCAGATGGTGAAGGATACTCAGCACTCAGTCAAATGCTGCACTCACGTCACAACCAAAACTTTCTCCCTTCCTTGCAACATACACATACACATACACACGACGATACACACACCCAGCAGTGTCTCCTCCCTCATCCCCCAACACGACCATATAATCCCCTTACCTACCACATGCCCTCCGCGCCCGCCTCCGCGCCCGTCATGATACCCACCATCAAGCCACCACCATCACACGTAAGACAAGGAAAAACCCCACCCACCACCATCGCTTCGGCTTCCCCATGTTTGCACTACCCACCCCTCGTCGCACACATGCAGCCCCTTACAGTACAGTACACTTGCCCTCTTTCCCCCCGCTTACCCCCACCACCAGCACCACCGCCGGTCGTGGTACATAGCCATCAGAGACAGAAAGAGGGTTATACACACAGCATGTAAGGCTAGGCTAGACCTGGCGAATTCAAACAAGATATACAAGTGCCACGCAGCGAGCTTGAGACACGAGGCCGTGGGTCCAAGTCGGGGGAGCTAAAGGGTATTCGCTTTAGTACAGAGATGCATCTATCAAGTGTCGTGTTACAAAAAAACAACAACAACACATTGTGTGTTTAGGGCTTGAGACGGAACATGGGGGGGGGTTTTTTTTGTTGCGAGCATGTGAGAGTGTGGGGTACGCAAGTAGTAGTCAATGGGACAAACGGGTAGGAAATGTAGCGTCGTCCGTCATGTATGTGTGCATTGCAGACCAAATCGATTGGGATTCGGGCTCACAGACGGGTACGTAAGGTTGTGAAAGCTTGTTTTTTGGTTTTGTACGAGCATGGTGGTGTGATTGGTGGTGGGCCGAGGGTACATGGTAAGGCATAAGAGAGAGAGACAGAAAGATAGCGAATGTGCGCAGGGCCCCCGTGGAGAAAGAAAGAGAGGGCGGACATGTGGGCGTTGTCCACCCATCATGTGTGCCAGATGGTGCAATGAGAAGATGCTGGCAAGCGCTCTCTTATTTGCCCCCCCCCTCCCCCCTCAACTGTTTGCTCAACAAATACTCAAGGGCGACGCTTCACAGCCAGTCGATTAGGGAACGACGTGTAGTCACGATGCAGGCAAAAAAAAGGGCTTTCTCTCCGGTCAGGGTCCGTGTGTACGTGGATACCAAGTTTCATTTGGCGCTTTCGGGGCGGGCTCTCTCGTCCTCGAGGGTAGACAGAGAGGACTCGCCAACTTTTTTTTTTACACAAGCGCTGTACTACATGCCAATAACACAATCCCAGTTCAGAAAAAAAAGTTGTACAACAACAAAATCTGTGCTTCTCCCCAATGGGTCTATTAGAACTTATCAATACTGATTGGAATATATGTGCCCAACAAGTCCCCATTACTTTTTTTCCCTCCTACCAAAAAGGGTAACAAAGACCCGCGACTGCGCTTGCCCTCTCGACTCGAGTCCCCCCAGGAGAGGGACGAGTCAAAGGTGTAGCCGCCGAAACAGACAGTAATTGTGCTCCGCAGGTGAGCACAAGGGGAAAACAATTAGATGAACAATGAAATTAGCTGAAGAGCCATCGCTGCGTGGAGCACACAGCGTGATGACGATGCTCGCTTTTCGCCCAATGCAGACGCATGCATCGCTTTTTCTTTCCCAACCCGCCCAACAAACAAACACAAAAAACTGCCCCATTGAAGGGAGAGCGCAGTACGCCTCTAATAATTGTTCAAACAAAGGAAATTCGTCGCTCTGATGAGTCGTGTCGTCGTGGCGCAAAATAAAAAAGCGCCAATATGTTTTGGGTCATTCACTCGTACTTTCGTAAATCGACCCTCGTTGCGCGTATCAGGCGCAAAGAGGGCCAGTAATGTACAGTCGCACGCGATCAAAAAGAAAAAGTTGATCGCGCCCGATGACGACAGAGAGGGTGGTGTTGTCCTCTGTCGCATTATCGTTCTAATATCCTCGGGTGCCATTCGAGGAACGGCCTAGGAACGAACTAGGGAACCGCAGGTCGCTGAGGAACCTGAAAAACGCGCGCTTACGCGAGGGGTTGGTCGGAATTAGTGCGGCGGCTTGTTGCATGGGACCGACAATGTCTTCGTCACCGAGATTGGGGAATTTACCCTCGCTCTTCGGGTCGTGGAGCGTTGGCATCTTACTGAGAGGCCCTGGCTCCGTGGGAGAGTATGGCGCAAGCTCTTCGCCAAGGGCAGCCGCATGTGCCTTGGCCATGTCATGGTTTCTCTTCCATTCGGCGTCGATTTCAGCCCATTTTTGTTCGGTGAGAAGATAGTGCTTCGATGTCACTCCATAATGTTCGGCGGTGCGCACTTGGTGCTTTGCATAATTGCGCCGCGCTTGGGCCCACTCGGCTAGGTGCTCTTCGATAGATGCAGAGTCGCACACTTCGGGAATGTATGGCTCAGGGAGGATGGTGAAGTTGGCGTGGCCCAAGATGTTGGCCCATCTGTCGTCAGGGCTAGCGAGCATCAGGGGAGGAATGTCGGCCGATGACACAGCAAACCCTGCATTTGGTCCTCGCATAGAGGCGTAGGAGGGCTTCGAGGACAGAGGAGGAGTAGGGTAGGTGCGCGTTGGAGGGGTGGGAGCATAAGCCAGACCCACTGACTGAGTCGCGTCAGCAACTGCTGGTGACTGTAAAGGCGATGAAGCCGGCACGTCTTCGGTCCGAGAGTGTACCAGCATGGGCGGTAAGAGTGGCGTAGCGGCATATCGCTCTCGTTCTACTTCCTCGGGATCAAAGTCAATGTCCATGGCATTGGCCCTATCAACGTCGATGGCGAGTGGCGTAGGAACATCCTCGTTTACTTGCTCCCTGCTGATCAAAGCAGGGTTGGAGGTGGGCGGCGAGTATTCGGTTGCGAGATCGACAGTCGACGCCTGGTAGAGGGAGCCAGCGAGCGACGAGGAGCGTGTCGAGGGTACTCGTGAGGGCGTTGTGCTGCGCGATACCCTGCTGAGGTTCGAGGTGCGGTCGCGCACTCTGCGCGACAGAGAAGGGAAGCGCCTCTCAATCTTGCCAGCAATGCTGTGTGCAGAGGCTTCCAATGACCGTCTTCGCTTTGCCGATTGTAGTCCAGAGTCGGCAGTGGTGAAGTACTCGTCCTGGGGGTCGTATGCCCTAGATATCCTGCAGTGCTGTGCATGACCATAGGAACCTTGGGTGTCGCCTGAGTTTGGATCAGCACCGCAAAGGCAACACGTTTGCAAGTCAAACTCACAAGAGCAGCGGTAGACGTCATGGTTAACGAAGTCGTACTCGCGCTCAAAGGGTTCCTCTGTTAGTTTGGGCAGCTTTCCTGAGCCATTGGGAGCGTCGGCCGGGTCGTAGGTTGGCGGGCTCGACGACAATGACGAAGCCGAGCTGGGAAAGCGGAAGTGACCACGGATGTACTGGCTTGGCGTGGGCGGCGTCGAGCACTCTGATGCAGAGTAGAAGCCAGAGTCTGCATTGGAACAAACGGACAGAGTTTGGTCTTCGTACATGGTTAATGAGCCCTTTGAGGATTTGCGAACGGCGGCGGGCATGTGAGGGAAGACGAGCGGCTTAAGGTCGTGCATCATGGCGGTGGGAGAATGGTAGGAGCGGCAGTTTGGGTTGGCGGTCGGGGCGTGATGTGGAATTTGCGCGCCGGATGCTGGGATCCCATCCCCAGCTTAAAAGAGACAAGCGACCGAGACTGTGGGCGGGCAGTGAGCGGCCAGCACAACACAGTCAATGGGCAGGCTTGGGGTTGGGGGAGGTGGAGAGGCGGTCGAGCAGTGTTTGGAGAGAGCCTGGGAGGGTGCCACGAAGCCGACCACGTATGTACAGCCTAGGCGTGGTGATGCTGCAGCAACAAAGTCAGCGCGTGCGGGTGGGCAAGCGGCTCCCAAAGCGGCCAGCACGTGAGTGCGCAGGGCTGGGATAGGTCCAACGTACGTACCGAGGTGCAGAGGCGATGCTCGATGCAGCAACAATCGTCAGTCGCAGACAACAGATGGGGGCTGGGGCGATGGGATCCGGTCTGTGTATATATTGTGGGCTGATG